CCCCCCACACCCACCTCTGCCGCGCTGATCATCTTCTCCGCCGCCCACCACGCCGCGTCGTGCTCCTTGGCCCCCTCCGCCATCTCCTTCTTCATCCTGAACATGCTCATCATCGGCCGCCGCCCACCCTTGCCACCCTTCCAGCCGCCCTTGCCCTTGCCACCCTTCCCGCCCTTGCCGCCCGCGCCCTCGCTCTCGGCCTCCCCCTTGCCGGCCGCCTGCTTGCCCTTCGAGGCGCCGCCACCGTTGACCTTTGACCGCTTGCTGCTGCTGGGGCGCGCCGGCGCCTCCTCCTCATCCTCGTCCTCCAGATCGCTCATCCCGCTGCCGTCGCTGCTGGACTCGTCATCCTCTTCCTCCTCCTCCTCTGCGCCGGGCGCAAAGTCCTCGTCGCCCTCGTCGTCGCTGCCGGCATTGCTGAACGACCGCCGCCGCCGCCGCTGCTTTGGCTGCTGCTGCTGCTGCTGCTGCTGCTTCGACTTGCCGACAGGGGATGGCGCCGACGCCTCGCTCCCCCTGCCCTTGCTGCCGCCGCCCTTGCTACTGCCGCCGCCCTTGCTGCTGCCGCCGCCGCCCCTGGCGGGCGCCGCGGTGCTGCGGCCGCGAGCCTTGGACGCCGCGCGCCCCTTGCTTGGGCCGTCCCCGCCCTCGTCGTCTGTGATGCACGAATACATGTTGTTATAAACGTGTGCATGTTGAGCTTGGGAAACAACCGCCGGTCAACGAGGAGATGGGTCAAGCAGCACTGCATGCGTGCAGGCAGTGGGCTACGACCCCCACGGCTGCAGAAACTAATGACCCTCCCCGCAGCAACAACAAGGATTTTCCAAGCAGTTCGGCACAGCGCCCCATGCCATCCGGCCGTCCTGATTGTTACCGAACGGTACGCAGTGCAACGGCCCATCACAGCGGCATCCCCCGCCCACGCCCACGCAGCCCCACTCACCCATATCATCCTCCCCCTCCTCGCTGCCTGCCTCCTCGTCTTCTTCTTCCTCCTCCTCGGCCGCCGCGCCGCCGCCGGCCTCCCGCCTGTCCCTCTTCCGCTGCTGCTTGGCCAGCGCGTCGCTCTTCTGGGCAAACGGCCCGCAGAAGAACCTGGGTGGGCGCGGACCGGGGGCTTGAGTTCGCACAGGGGCCGGCGCGGGCGCGGCGGCGGAGAGGGGCGGCCGTCCGCTGGGCGGGCCGGGGCGCGCGGGACGGCGCTCTCCACTGCACCCGTCATCCCGACCCCGACGCGCCCTCTCCCCGCCGTTCCCTTCCTTGCAAATCCGTCAAGCCTGCATCCCCCTCGGCCGTCCTGCGTCCACCCCTCCTTCATGTCTGGCCCGCCTCTCCCTCCCCGACCGCTTGGAACCCCGAGAGCGGGGAACCCCTTGTGGTGCACTTGCCGCAGGCACGAGATTCCCCCCTCCCCTGAGACCCAATCAAGCCGCGCCCCCACACCTGAGGTGCACCCTCAGCGAATCGGGAAGGTACTTCTTCCCGCAGTACCTGCGGGCGGGACGGCGGGCGCGGGTGATATATCAAGAATGTGTGTGCAAGTGTATATGTAGCAGTATATACACAGTAATTCCATTGTCAGGTGGGATGGCGCGCCTGACCTTGAATGTGCTGTGCTGCTTTCAGCCACCCTCCGCAGGCAAACCAGGTGCATGCCAGATCAGATCTGATCTGGTTACGTAATCTCACGTGCAGGCGATCTTGGGCGGCATCATGGTGCGCCTGAAGTCGGCCTCTATGGTGGAGTAGGTGGTCAGCACCACGTCAGCACCCTCCAGGTCAGCGCGGCAGGTGGCGCCGCGCTTGGCGCCGTGGTACACAGCCACCTGCGGGTGTTTTGTTTTGAGGGGGGCAGGGATGCATATTAACCCGCGGCGGCGACAAGGGGGCGTCTAGTACAAAACATTTGCGAGGGGGGAGATCCTGGGGGGCGAAGGGAAGCAAACGCGCCAGGCGGGGGTCGTCGAAGGACGTGGCAGGGGCCCGGGCGGTGCGGCAAGGGGAGGAGCCGCGCGCTGCGGCTCGCGCGGGGTCCCTGGCCGCCCGCCTCAGCGCGCGGCGAGTGGCGGCGGGCAGGGCGGGTTGTGTGTGTATGTGTGTGTGTGGCTGTTTGGGGGGGCCAGGGGACAGGGGCAGACCTTGAGGGCTCCTGGCTCTGTGTAGCGCGCGATCTCCCCGCGCCACTGGATGACGGCCACCACGGGGCACACCACCAGCGTGGCCCTGTGGGGGGAGGGGGGGCAGGGGGCGAAACGGTGCGGCAGTGCAGCGTGCGCGCCGCGGGCGGAGGCGCGCAGAGCGGCGTGCGTGGCGCGTGCGGGCGGCGCCTGCGCGGACGGGGCGCGCCCGGCGGCGGGCGGCGCATGCGCAGGCGGCAGGGGGCGCCGCTTGGAAGCTGGCGGCAGGCGTGCCGCCTCCCCCTCCCTGCCTTCAGTGCCTGGCCGGCAGCAGCGGCGTCAGTGATTGCATACAGGGGCCTTGCTGCTCACCTGCAGTACTGAGGGGCGGCCCCCGCCTCGTCCTCAACGCCCACCACCGCCTCAATCTCGG